TTTAAGAAAAACAATTTGCGTAACTACTCTCTGTTTGATATCGTTTCCCTTACTGTAATCGAACGCATATTGCCGATTGGACTATAATTTATACGCATTCTCTTGCAATTTCACATTGAATACATTCTCCGGCAACTGCAGCTGCAGCAGAAACTGAAAATCACGCCGCTGGCAATTTTAATCTCGTTTATTAGCCATTTTTCAAGTGATACACATAATTTTCAATTTTGCCATTTCTCGCCCGGCCCCAATGGAAGCCAGCAATGGAACAGAGCACCTGCAGCCGGTACATCTCACACACTGACACCCACCCACACCCACAGCCATACAGACAACCCATACTCGCAATTTACACCCTGGAGCCCTTTGTCCTTATTGAACATGGAAAAAAATGCATTGCATACATGCAAGCAGGCACTGGGCGGGTTACGTGAAGGCAATGACGAAACGTGGCGCCCATTTGGAAGCCATTAGGACCAGTCAGCCGGTTAGCCGGGATGGCCTGCCTTCCTGCTGAACCAACAAAAACAATGGAGCAGCGCCAACAATAACAAGGCGCCTAGGCGCAACGAGCGTAGCGCCCACACTGAGCCAGGTAGCATGGCAAAATTTTGCTGAAAAAGTAATAGAAGCCGCTGCAAACGCATATTGGGTACATTTTTTGTTTCTCTTCTTGCACAGCGCATTACAGGGCGGGGCAAAGGGGTCAGCGTTTGTGGCACAAACAGCTTTGCAGTTCTGTGCAACAAATTCATGCTTCCAATTGTGGTTGTACTTGTTTTTGTTATTGTTGTGCTGCACTCGAGCTTTCAATAAGCGTTAAGATAGACATGACCATGGTAGTAACAGGCACTGTTCCCAGCTTCCATGGGAATGCATGAACTTCAATATAATTGGTAGCAGCAACTCTTCAAAGCTGATGCTGATGCTGAAGCTGATGCTGTTTGCATATGCAACTTTCTTCGCTATTAGATTTGCGTTCCGTCGCAGTTCCCGACATTCAAACATGCGTATGCATGCATACATGTGTGTGCCTCGCGCATGCCACCTCCCTGCCCCCTAGTTACTCATGCATAAGACCCTTAACTCTTCACCATTGTATCTGCCCCCAATGCCGCGCCGCGCTGCAAGTTGTTGCAGCAAACGTAATTGCATTTGGTTGAGAATTTATGCTTGTATAAAATTTGTACATTTCTCATACACTATCGCAGGGCTACATTCAGAGGAATATTCAACAATATTTTTCAATAACTGCTGCCAGCAGAAGAAAGCAGCGTGCATAAAAAATGCTGCATTTTTATCTTACCCATTGTTTAGTGGAGCTTTTCAATATGTTTCATGTGTTTAACCACAGATCACTTAGACGCCGCTTTATTGAATTCAAGTTGAAAATGCGGAAGTCGACTTATCCTACCACCGACTTAATATTTATGATCTTTAAAGAAACTAATTTCAACACATTCCATGGCAGTGCACGTTCTTAATCTTCGTCTGAACTATAAAATTCTTCGGAAAACAAACAAACCACAGGCGAATAGCTAATATTTAGGATGTTAAGGAACCAAAAACAGAGCTAGATAATTCCAACTAGTACGCACTTATTATATAGCTTTTTTAATAGGAGTTTTTGTTAATTTTAACGTTTTTTGGCAGATAAAAGATTTGGCAGAGTACATGCAGTTCGTTGCTAGAAATTATGATGTTTTTTGTTGTTTTTACACTCGCTAACAATCTGCTAAAGTTTCTATCTGTGTATGTGAACTTGGCTGCTTCCTCTGCCTCCAAAAACAGCTCTTAACTCAACTTCACCTTCGCTTGGAAATTGCATTTTCTACAAAAATGTTTGCCATGCCGGGAAAATGCTACACTGCGAAAGTGTATATGTGTGTGTGTGTGTGCTTGGGTGTATCCCACTAAAGTGGGTGGGCAAAGAAAATATGAAAACAAATGGCGCTTGGGCTTCTGGCTTTGACCAAACAACCGAAATTTTGTTTGTGCTGCTTGCATTAGGATGGTCAAAGTTCGTTCGGCATTAGATGACAAGCGATTTATGTATGTGCACATTTGCTTTTAATGCTTTCTTTACGTTTTTTTTTTGGTTTATTTTTGAGCATTTTATTGGCATGTTTGAGTAGTCCTTTCCATTCACAAAGTATGGCCAATTGCCAAGAAGGCATTGTCAAACTAAAACTATCAGATCAATAAGTCAGAGACAAAGGGAGGAAAGTTCCATTGGAAAAACATATAATATTCAAATAACAATATCGTGTTCAGCATAACGTTAAGCGTGGATACCCTACTTTCATATTTGTACAAAATTAATTGTATTCCCATTTCGTCTTACTTTGATGTTGATTCAAATAGAGTCAATTAATTGTTGTGGGGCGAACCAAAATATACGAATTAATAGGAATAACAAAACTTTTTAAGTATTCGATTATGCAAAATGACGCTTAATCTTTCCTAAATTTTATATTTTTAAGCTTTAGAGAGTGTATATCATATAAAAAGCTGCTATGGTCGAGAATAAAGTTCTTGCATAAAAATACAATTTATAATAATTTAATCAATAATTTTTTTCATAAATGATTGAAATGTATCACACAACCTGCACTGCATTTGCTGTACTTACCTTCGTTATCTGCAGTAATTGAGTTTTCCTTGAGAATCAAGTGTGCAGCATACAACGCTTAAAGCACATCTGAGGAGAACTTGCCTGATCATTATTATTGCATGGAAAACCACTGAAACCCTAAGCAAATTAAATTAGGGTCTCAGCGTTTCCATATTACAGACTATTTCCATCATACAGTATATGCACGTACATATGTATGTACACACACACACACACACACACATGTATATTTTGCACTGGCTGTGATTGCGCGCGCGACAGAAAAGCCGCTTATCTGATTTGCACTGGACAAGCGGCGGGCGGGGGATAACCGGAGCGGGGGTCGCTAACGGGTACGCAGATAATAAAATAGACATCGACAATAGAGTTATAGTAATAGTTTTTAGTTTGTTTACTGCAGCTCGCATTTCATGAAATTTACACATAAACATATATGTACATATGTACATACATACACAGCAGTAGCAAGCACACACACTTTGGCTCTGGGATTTTAATTAGCAATTAATTGTGTTCAAGGTGCGGCAGTAGTATGTTGTTATTGTTTTCGTTCTGAGTGAGTTTAACTTTCGTAACAACTTGTAAGCATTGCTCTTCCTCCAAATTCAATTTACTTTTACAATACGCACTTATGTATTTCATAATTTATCAAAACATTGTGCAAGTGCTGCCCAATTGATTACAGATTTGACTAATAAGCGCCATTTCCAACACTTATGCTGCTCAGTGCATTTGGCGAGCGATCATAATGTACGTCACACCTAAATATTTGTAATCAAACTCCCGTATTGGTTTCACAACGATAATAGACATGTGTTTTTAATTTGTATATACTAAATAAAATTAAAGAAGCCTTACCCCAACAAGCCAGTATTAATTGTCTGCTATTATCATTGCATGCATAGACTTGAGACATCTGGCAACCCTATACTACAGTAAACGCGCGCTTTCGTCTCCTTTCGTATAAATTGTAATTTCAGTAATAAAACTGGCATGGAAACGCAATTTAGCGACAAATCCGTCGTCGGGACGACTTGTAATCATTATTCACCCTTCATGTAAGCACTAGCCCGATGAAATGCAATCTGTGACAGCCGCATACAAACATTTTGACAGACTACCTAAACCAGTCTAAGCTATAAAGAATTGATATGCACACACACTCACACACATGCACATTCATATATGTATATCTATGCTTACGCATGCATGTGAGTACTTGTATGTGTATGTATGTATGTATGTATGTATGTATGTATGTATGAATGCATATGCAGGTCACATACACCCGGAGCGCACGCCAAAAAAAGTGTTAAGTGCTTTTGCTGTTTCTTGCAGCCCCGCAATCATTGTCAGCAAACATCCAACAGCAGCCAGTAACCAGGACTAGAACCAGTTCTCGGACTGGAAGCAGCACAAAACCAGGAATCCGACCCAACCACAACTGTAGCTACGATTTATATGCATCGCAAAGTGCAAAGAGCAAAACAAAGGCAAAGGGGGTGCAAAAAAACAACAACCTTCACAATTTTTTCCCTGCTCTAAAATCAAATGCAAATGCAAACAACAGTTGGCATCAATCGTAATGTCGTAAGTCCCGCTACCCGCCTCCAACCTCCTATGCCACGATTTGTTCCCACTTTATTGCTGGAATTAATGATGAAGGGCTGCTGCGTTTGGCTGGGTCTTCGACTGAGTTTTTTTTTTTATTGTTGGCGGGTTTTATAATTTTTTTTATTTGGATTTCTGTGTTTTATGTTGAATCAAGTGGAAATTCAATTGATTTGCTTTGGCTTTGCGTTGGGACAAAGTGAAATACGCAAAAGGCGTTATAATAATGGGCGAATGTTTCCGCCACGCCCACATGCATGAGTAGAGCTTCAAAGGAGCCAACGACGTGGCCAACAAACCGCAATCAAAGCCAACAAGTGTAAAACTTATTTGAGTGCAAAATCATTTTGCAAATATTACAAAAAGTAACGGCTCGTCTTGCTAGGCTTTCCACCCAACCCCCACCCCCTCCCACCAGCCTCCCCCTAACCCACTCCCAACAAATGTGTTTTTTGGCTGCGTCAGCATGTCGCCAGGGAAATGCTCCTAGTCACGCCCATTGTCCAATCGGATGTAAAATCTATATAATTAAAGTCGAGTGCAGTTGATAAGCTTTACTGAAACCAAATTTTTGCCTAATGAAGTTTTCGTGGAAATTCAATTTGTGTGTGTGTTTGTGGGAAATCCTATGTGAACCAAAGCACAAACCGCAAACTTTAATATGCATAAATGCAATTTGCATTGTAAAACACATTTAAATTGGAATAATTAAAATTGAGTATCATTATTGCAATTTTCTATATACCCTTTACAGCTACATAAATATTCAACAGCAGCTGTTCCATGTTCGAGCTAAACAATTTCCATATATAACGTTGGGACACTAACAAGCCACGCCCCCCACCATGGGCGCAACAAATCCTCCGACAGCTATCTGCCTGCTTTTGGTGCTGATCATAGCTCAGAGTCAGGCGGCAAGGGAAAGTAAGTTGTACATAAATATAATATAAAATAAATAAAAGCAAAATAATTGTACATTAAGTGGTTCGAACCAGGCTATCAAATGAAGAAATTATGCATTCTGCATATTGAAAATAAAGTAAAATGCTCTACTTTAAAAATAAAGATAAAAGAAATAAATAACTAAGGTTTGAGCTAAAAGCTAGGTTAATGGATGCAGAAAACTTAGAAACCTTGAGGCTAAGCTTTGTTCGATCCATTAACCGAACCACAGCACCTTTTGTTTGGCTCGCTGTCATGATATAACAAATAATTAAGCTCACAATTCCAAGCTTAACTAATATAATTGCCAAATATTTAAATTAATCAATAATTTTGAAATATTCAAACTGTAATTAACGATATTTCGCTCTGCCATTCACAGATCCACTCAAGGATCCGCGAATCTGCGGTCGTCCGCAGTGTGAGAAGACAAATTCGAAATTCGGCTATGGTGAAAATGTCTACAAATATGATTATACGGTCGCATTGCGTACGGAATTCGCCGGTTCCGGCGATAACAGTTCCGATCTGTTTTTAAAGGCCAATTTGGACATTTTCTTTCCCAAGCCCTGTGAAGGCTATCTGCGTATCAATACCGTCAAGCTTTACGATAAGTTGCAGGAAATCAGCAATGACAGCGCTGGCTCTGAGGAAAAGCCCATCAAAGATGTATATGACTACTATGATAGCATAAACAGCGATACTACTCGAGATGATGAAGAAGCATTACCAGACTTCGAGAATATGCATCCCAAGAGCAGCGATTTGGCCATTGACCTGACTAAAAATCTGCTGCGCTTTGCCTTTCACGATGGTCTCATTAGCGAAGTCTGTCCCACAGAGCTGGAGACCCCTTGGGTTCTGAACTTTAAAAAGGGCATCCTGTCCAGCTTTCAAAACACCATGCTGCGGTTCGATGTGGACTTAAATACCACTGAGACGGATGTATCCGGCGACTGTCAAGTGCAATATGCGCTGGAATCCACCGACAGCGTCTATGTGACCATACGCAAGACCAAGGATATATCCTCGTGTCGACGACGTTATGCCACACAATCAGTGCTCCAAACGACGCCGTACACTTTTCGGGACGACAAGACCATTTGGCCCATCTTGAATTCTCAGAGTTATTGCAATGTAAGTTCCTGAACAAAATACAAATTTATGAATACAGAACAAAATTTCGAAACCAAGCTATTCGTGAATAAATAAAAACCAACTAATAAATAAAAAATAAGCAAGAAATAAGCCTTGTTCAGATAAAATATTATTTACATAAAATGATTTATCTCAATATTGCTAAAATAATATCTGAAAAGCACTTGCCAAATCTTGAAGGTCTTCAGTAACCTTTTACTTTTTTAAGTTGACCATTGACAACAACGTTTACCGAGAGATCAGTTGCATGGAGAGCCATCTGCTGGTTCCCTTTTCGAATGGCAGCTCTGGCGCATTGACCACCACGCGAAGCACTCTGCGGCTGGAGGGCGAGGATACCTACAGCTTAAGTGAATTTTTGGAGAAAAGTAAGTAGTACAATTATATTTAAGGCATGCCTAATCCTATATCATCTCTTCCCTCTAAAAAACGTAGATATCGAACTGGTTGAGAGGCGTTCTGCGCTCATATTTGATCACACGCCGCCTGTAAAGCCCAGCCATGATGAGATCAAGGCAGCCCGTGAGCTACTGGTCCAAATGTGCGCCGTCGGCTTCCCCAATATACAACGCGAGTTTATCGATGTGTTCACAAACTTTCTGCAAACCTCAAAGAGTCTCGACTACAAGACGCTGACTGTGCTATTGCAGCGTGCGGCGAGCATTTGCCCACAGGGAAAGTAAGTAGCCTCCAAAGGCATTGAACCTAGCGAAGGTCACGCGATAAGGTGCTACTTTGCTTATCAATTGCAGGAACCACGTGCTCGAATCGCTGCCCTATATTGGAAGCACTGCGTCCTATCAAGTGATGCGCGATCAAATTGTGAACGAGAAACTATCTAAGGAAATGGCGCACAGCTGGATGACCTCGCTGTCATTTATTACACGACCCGACAAGGAGACACTGGAAACCTTCTACACCATTCTAGACTATGCGAGAAACAAACTGGACCCGGAGTACACACTGGGCGCCACGGCTGTTGTGCACAGCTACTGCAAGTATCACGAAAACTGCGAGGAGGATCTCAGGGTTGCGCAAATTGTCAATCTACTGGAGACGGAGATCCTCAGTCAGTTCAAAAGATATCGCGGTGATCGCAAGCAGCGCGAGCGTTTGATTATACTGCTCAAAGGCCTGGGCAATATAGGAGTTCTATCCGCCCGATTTGCGGAGCAATTGCAGCTGATTATTAAGGATAATGTGGTCCCAGTGGACATACGTCTGCAGAGCATTCTCGCCTTCAGGCGCGTCAATTGCCTAAAGTATCGCAGCTATTTCCTGGACATCTATGGCAACTACACGTTCAATTCGGAGCTGCGCATCTACAGCTACTTGCAGACCATGCGCTGTCCAGATTATATATATATTGGTGCAATCAAGTCCATACTAGAGCATGAGCAGATCAATCAGGTTGGATCATTTGTTTGGTCTCATCTAACTAATTTGGCCAAGTCCAATTCACCGGTTCGCATTGAGGCGCAGGGCTTGCTGCTGAACGATGAGCTCGCCGATAAGTTCAAGATGGATATACGCAAGTTCTCGAGAAATTATGAGCACAGCTTGTTCTTTGATGAATATAATTTTGGTATGTGAATTATGACATTCTTTAATTATCAATAATCATATTTAAATGTTCCCCTTTTACAGGCACAACAACCGATGCAAATCTTATTTTTGGCACCAATTCCTACCTACCGCGCATAGCCAGTGTTAATTTTACCGCCGATCTATTTGGCCAATCTGTCAACTTCTTTGAGTTCAGCGCACGCGCCGAAGGCTTTGAGGAGCTGGTGGCCAATGCTTTTGGGCCCAAGGGACCTTTTAATGGTGAGCTGTTGCGTAAGAAGCTCTCCTTTTTCAATCGCTGGCTGGGCAATGAGAGCGCAGAGGAGGATGACACCTTGGAGAATCTGCTCAGCTTGGAGAGCTTGCGTCTGAAGCGTAAAGCAGCCGACACCGCAGAGTTGGAGGAAGAGCACGAATACGAATACGAAGAGGAGCTGCAGGACTCCACGCGATCCAAACGCAACGCAGATGCCTCTGCAACGGCACGCAAACAAGGCATCGATCGCAATGTTGATCAACTGGGCTACAAGCTGAAATACGACTACAACAATCCCCGTGCGCAGTTTGGGCTGCGCGTCTTTGGCAACGATCTGCGCTATTACAATATCGAGTCCATGGCCGAGGTGGCGCTGCTAATTAAACAGTTCAATCCCCTTTACCAGGCACAGAAGCTGCTGTCCGGCAAGCCTTTCAGCTATACAAAGTCACGTGTATTTTTGGACGCCTCATATAGCGTTCCTTTGGCTGTGGGTATGCCGCTGGCTATACACGCGTTTGGTGCTTCTTCTGTGGACCTGAGCATATCTGGCAATCTGGATAAATTGGACGTTGATTGGCATTTCGACGTGCAGGGACGCTTTAAGCCATCTGTGTCCGTGGATGTCATTACCACGATGCAAACAGACATGTACTGGGGCCAGTCGGGCATTAAAGTCAAGAGCAATTTGTACTCCAACTCAGAGGTGGAGGCCAACTTAAAGATGCGTGGCCGCAATCTTATTTCCTTCTCCTTCAACCTGCCGCAGGATAAAAACGAAATCTTCAGCGCACGCTCTGAGCTCCTGGTTGTTAAACACGATCGAGATTTGCCCCAGCCTGGAATTGAGAAGCGCAGCTCCAATTCCACATGCACCTGGCCCGTGCTGGACAGTGCCATTGGACTGCAAATGTGTTCGCATTATAGTGTGCCCGATCTGAGCAATGCGACAGCCGCTTATCCCAGTTTGTTGCTATCTGGTCCGCTCAACTTTAGTCTTATACTCAAGAAATCCGATTTGACCGCCAAGAAATATGTATTTGAGTACAATTGGGATCAGCAGGAAGAGGAAAACAACTTTACGTTAGTGTTCACCACTCCTGGCTCGAAAATACCACGCATCCTGGTGGCCAATTTGACTAGTCTATCGAATGCCTTCAATGCATCGGTGGCCTTCGTCAATGGCAAGAGTCGTGCATCCGCCGGATGCAGCTATGATGGCAATCCTGAATACAGGCGCCTCGATGTATATCTGGACAACAATGGTAATCGATCACTGGATCTGGCCATGGAGCTTAGACGCTATCAGGACTTTACAGCCTGGATTTATAAGCCACGCATGCTTTTGATCATCAACGGTGTCAAGATTACCGGGGTGGTCGGCTCCATCAAGATCAATGAGAAGAACGGTATTAAGCAGCACGATGTGGATCTCTCTTTTGAAACAAAGAAGCTGCAGGCGCTGGTCAGCGGCAACATAGTGCAAACCGAAGTCACAACCTCAACAAACATGACCGTGAATTACAGGGTAAGTGCAACACTTTGGCATTCGTATAAACTCCTTCAATGCCTTTGCTCATAGTCATTTCTATTCGATTTATAGTTCCAGGCAAGCAAAATCGAAACTATTAACTTTGCAGGTCGTCTGGTTAATAATGGCGATAAATCGAAAACTGAATATCGTGGAAATGTGAAGCTACGCACAACTGCCTATCCAAAACTGAACTTTGCCTCGAATGCCACATGGCTCAGCCTACAAGGACATACCGAGGGCGTTCTGACCTACAACAATGCACCCAACTATATCAATCCCAATCACACCAGTATGGTAAGGGTTATCTTTGCGCGTTCCAGCTCCGAAGATGCCATTTTGGAGGGCTCGCGCACGCGCGCCAGCTTGGAGCTAAAGCTGCCCAGATCGAAGATCGACTACCGCATATTGGTTAAGTGGGTAAATTCGTAATCGCTAGCGATCTGCTTTACATAGCTATTCACTTCACAGGCATGAGGAGCGCAGTAAAAACGGCACCGAGCACAATGTTATCGTGGGTCTCAAGTATGCGCCTGAAAAGGAGATAACCGGGCTGTTTTCCGTACACTTGCCGCGTCGCAGCCTCTTCGTGATTGATGCCTACATGAATGTGTCTGTGCCGGAGTTTAATTCCTGCACAGCTAGTCTGAAAGTCAATGAGAAGGCAACCAAGGATTATATGGTTGGTTACGCGTAGTCGAAGCAACATTTAACTACAGTTCTTTTACGGCTTTAGGTGTTCATCAATGGTTCGTGGTTTACGGGTCACTCGATAGCCCTTAAGGGCAACTACAAGGATCGCAGCTCGCGTGTGCAGGCACTGCATCATTTGAAAATGATCGTGGAGAGTCCCTCGTTTGAAACGACCTCGCTAAACATTGTTTACAGACGCAATCAGCTGCTGATCTTCTACGATCTGCAGGCCAAATACGGCAAGGATCCGTACGGACTGACCGTACAATATGCATCCAATGCTCACAATCGCAATTCCAATGCCGAGGTGCGCTTGAAGGTCAAGGAAAAGGATTATTGGATCAATTCAAAACTGTTATCGGAGCAGCCAAAGCTGTTGCAGCTGGAGATTCACATGGACAAGTAAGTTGAAGCCACAACGCCAAAAGCCATCTAATAAGCAATTTAAATTTCACCAGAGTTCGTGATGTACACATCAAAGTGGGCCTGCTGAACATTGAAAAACGCAAGGAACTTTCCCTAGAGCTGAAGTGGGATGCCAATCGTGATCCTTCGGAACGCCTAGGCCTGCTCGTCGAGTATAACAATCCGGGCAATAAGCACTACGACGGCAACGTAATGGTAACCTATCCGGAACGAACAATTAACTGCGGCTTTAACGCCTACACGGGTGGCCCCAAGTATTATGGCAAGGCACATGCCTCATGGAGCATAACCGAAGTTATTGAGTTCAGCTATAATGCGGGCATTATGCCGGGCAAGACCCTGCACAACTGGCTGCATGCGGAGATCAACACGCCCTTCGAGGGCTGGCGTACGAACACGCTGAGAGCTGGTGTTTACAATATGCACAACTTAATATTGATTAACTCGACGCTTTCCTGGGCGGAAGATCAAAAACTGCAGCTGGGCTATAAGAGCGATTACGACCTTCGTGATCAGCTTGTTAGCTTTGATGTGCGCTTTGGCATCAACAGCACCATCAAAGACATACCCACCATTAATGTACGGGCTGTGCACTGGCAGGACCCTAAGAGAGTCGACACAGATCTCTATCTGAGTTACAAGGGACAGAACGATACCTTCAACACCTACAGCATCAAGTCCGATTGGGACTTCGTACGAAATCAGCGCTATCAGAATATCTCCGGCACAGTCTCACTTGTCAGCCCCTTCGAGGGTTATCGCAAGGGCGGGCTGGCGGCCGTGTTTATGCTGAACGATCAGCGCCAGGTGCAAGGAGCGGCCTCTCTGGAGTTTGAAGTTCGCGAGTTTACCCTCACAATGGATGGGTATGTGAGAAAATTTACGGATAATATGCTCATCATAAACATAACAACACCTCTGGAGAAGTTCCGCACCATACACGGACGCCTTGGATTGAATGAGAAGAAGCGCCATGCTGTGGCGGAGGTGCGAGCGCCAACTGCAGCACTGGGCATTGAAGCGTTAGCGGACATAAAGAATCTACTGGATTTTGATGTTAAATTGAGTTTGGCCACGCCCATTGAGAGCTTCCAGCAAGCTGCCCTCTTGGCCAAAGTAAATCCAGAGCGCGTAGACATGCGTGGCATCTGGAACAATGCGACCTTGGGCTTTACTGGGGTCTGGCATATGGACAACATGACTGACTTTGAATACTCGTATCTGGTGTTCACACCATTGGTGGGCTTCGAGGAAAACGGATTTATTGTGCAGCTACTCAAGCGGGATACCTTCATATTTAAGCTTCACGGCAAGTTCTCGCACTACAAGCTTGGCGTCAAGATCAATGGCAATCCCAAGCCAAAGCTGGTCAATCAACTGAGCAGCCAAAAGATGCTGCTGGACTTGCACTTCGATGATGATTTCCAGCCACCAAAAACTATATTAGAAGAGGGTGAGGAGGAAGACGAGGATGAGTACATCTCCTACTTTGTCAACTTCCAGGTGGACACTTTGGCGTGGCCCACCATAATTGGTGAAGTGGATATACAAGAGAATGTGGACTTGTATTTCGTTTTGGGCAGCGTGCAGCTCCCCCAGGGTCGTGTTGACTTTAGAGATCGTCTGTACTATCCCGACTATATCAATGTGCTCAATGTGCTCACCGTGTCCACACCGTTCGCCGAGGCCAACGAGTTGAAGTTCATATTTCAGTATCACATTGATTTGTATTTTAATTCATTCTATCAGCGCGTGCACTTCATGGTCAACGATATCCAAAAGCAGTCCCAGGAAATGGGCTTCGAGCTTAACTACACCAAAGTGGTGGACAATGTCAGGCCCAAGGCGCACAATGTCCAACTAAAACTAATTACGCCGTACGAGCAGCTGCCAGAAATCAACATCAATGGCAAAGTAGAGCTCGATGACAATGCTTACAAAGGCAACATCACCTCAACGACAGCTCACACACATCTCTCCCTAGCTGCCGCTGTAGAGGTGAGTCACAAAATGCCCTACCCTTCTGTTCTTATATAAACTGACTCAATAATTCCGAAATTCCTTTTAGAACGAGGACAATTTCCTGGAAACCTCAGTGGGCATCTTGCTGGAAACGAACGTCATTCCGCATTATGCTTGCAATGCCTACTTTAAGAAGGACTTTTCGGCTGTGGACAATATTATTGACATACGGTTCCAGGTCACTGACAATGGCAACGTCAATAAGGTGACTATCCCGAACGACCTTTAACATAACCGCCCAATAACTTGTCCCAATCCTCTCTAGCTGCACATTGAAACGGATTGGCACACTGATCCAGCCTATTATATCAACGTCAATGGCAAAGTGCATACCACAATGCTGCCACTGAAACTGGCTTCCACGTCAGTGCTGGCGACCAAAGGATCTAGTCCGCAGCTAAATGTCGATTTGAACTTCCTAAGTCGCGATGGTCAGAGCATTTCGTATGGTACGCGTGCTAACAAGAAGAAGGATGTGTTCAATATTGAAGTGTGGACACCGCTGAAGAACTACAGAAATATCTCGATGCATGGCACCATTGTTCGCAATCAAAACGATCCGAAACGATATGATGTCATCGGCAACTTGTATCGCAACATGGCCACATATGATGTTAAGGGGGTCGTCCGTATGATTGATACCCTGCCCATAGATGTCACGCTGCGTGTCCAGCCCAAGTCAGGTGGTCGTGATGGCGTCATTGAGTTGAACATACAAGAGGCGGGCCCGAGGAAAATACGCTTCTCTTTCAGCGCCATTGAGGATGGCAAAATGTGCCAGGTATCTGGCGGATACAGCGTCAGCGGCAGCAATGGACCAATGGACTTCTCTGTATTGGTGGAGAGCACCGAACCGGAAATAGCGCGGATTAATTTTTATGGAAATCTGGTGCCAAAGGAGCAGGGACGCGTGGTGGGCGATGTGAACCTGCAGACACCCTGGAAGCAGCTGGGTATCGACTCGGTGCATCTTCACTCCGAGGTGGGTGTACGCGCCGACGGGGGCAAGATCGTTGGCGAGTATCAGATTGGCAAGCATATTGGACGCGGCAGCTGCTTGTGGTCTTGGATTCTGGCTGAGAATCTGCAGCTTGTACTGGAGAGCTATATGGAACGACCCGAAGCCCAACCACGCATTGTGCACGCCAGCGCAAGATACTTAAATCCAGGCAAAACATTCCAGCAGCTGCAAACAGGCGGACGTCTGAGCGTCGATTCGAAATGGAATCTTGATGTGAACGGCAGCTTGCACTACAAGTCCACGGACGAGTTTGATTTCGATGTGCTGACCCAACTGCCACTGCCCCTTGGCGATACTCATAAGCTGAGCTGCAAATATCGAGGCAATGTTATAAGCAAACAGTTGACAGATCCCGATATCTACATCTTGGGCGGCTACGAGGCGCTGGAAGCGCAGCGCACGCTCTCAGCGCATCTCAACTATCACAATGACACTAATGCTCTAAAGGGCTTGGCTCATGTGGAGTGGGGAGTGAAGCAGGATATTTCGATAGTGGAGGGTGACTTTACCCTGCTGCAAAAGCAAAACAATCGCAGAGAGTTCGAAGCGAAGCTGACAACACCCAAGTTCAAGGGTGAGCACACGTTTGGAATCAGCGGTCACTATGACAAGCCCAATGCGGAATACCATAACTTGGTCTGTGCACTGGACTATCCGGCAAGTCGTCGCATATCCGATCTGGATGTGTCCTTTAACTCCCTGAGCAACATGCATGGTGCGGTGAACTCCAGCACACCCTTCCTGAATGTTAGTTGGTTCAAAACAGACTTCGAGTTCACCACAAAAAGGTAAGTGGAACCAAATTGTAATTAATGAACCAACTGATCCGACTAATATTGAATCTTTTTAACAGTGGACACAGCTATCGTTATGTTCGCTGCAATTGGCCCAAGGACAGCGCCTTCTTCAAGCTGAGAAGCAACTATGACAGCGATAACACCAACCACAATCTCAATGGCAACATCGAAATTGAAGTACCATTGACCACAAGGCATCGTGGGGATGTTTCCTACGGTTTGCAGGAACGTCCCAACTTGGATTCGGGCAATCTGAAGGTTGTGTACAACACACAACAAATACTAGACGGCAAGTACAAGCGCGTGGAGCTACAGAAGCATCCCATCTACAAGGACACAACGGACATTACCCTGGAGAATGATATGAAGCCCCTGGGCATACATTATGTGAATTCAAGGGATATGCGGGATCCGGCTGGAGCGCGGGATATCAAACACATTGAACTCTTCGAGCTGCGCAATACGAAAAACTTTAATCTAACCGGAGAGCTGCACGTGCTGACTACGCTCACTGCTCAGGAGTTCAAGGTTGTGGCCGTGCATCCTAATCGTGCCGTCGTCCTGACCACAAGGTACGAGGATGTCAATCCACAAGTTGTCAAGCAGCACACCAAAATCGAGCTATCGGAGACAGCCTGGATAGGCTACAACCTGGAGCTTGGCAACTTTAGCACGGTAAGCGGTTTGGGAATAATACCCAAAAAATTATATTAAGGCTAATAAGCACTCGATTGAAATCTTTTCAGAATGGCAATGAATCGCAGCGCTTTGCACTGGAACTCTTCTATCCCAAACGCAATCTGTCCGCGTCTGGCTGGTATTACCTTACCGACAAGAATTTCAACGCGGACTTGGCCTTGAATTGGGCCGGCACTGGGCGTTATGAAGAGTCCAGAAATATTCGCAGCAACTTCCATTGGAAAGCGGAGCCTTTGCGTAAGGGAGATCGTGATCATCAAATATTTGGCTGGACAGTGGCTCATCCATACCTCGAAAAGGACATCGATTGCAGGGCCATATACTATCGTGGCTTGCGGGATCTACTTCGGGCGCATCTGACTATCAACTACTCTGACAGTCCCGAACAGTTGATTACGTTGGGCGCACAGCTGCGGGACTTATACCATGAATTGGGTCACACAAACTACACGTTCAAGCTGTATGGCTATCATCCGGCCTCTGAGCTGGACGTAGAGCTGAATGGCACACTGGCCGCGCGTCCCTCGTACTACAAGACGGAGACGACAGCGCACTACAAGCGCGACTATTCCCCCATGTATGGCAAGTTCCTGGCTCTACTGGATCTCAATAAGCGTGAGGTGGAATACGAACGTCGCTCGCCATACCACACGGTGCGCCTGTGGCTGCTGCCCACCACGCAGTATCCTATATATGGCTTGAATGCGACTATTTGGGATACACCGGACACAAATCACACGGGCTATGTCTATGTGAATGTTGCGGAGCGTAAGGCACGCATGGACTTCAACCTGACGGAGGATGCCAGCCAGAATCTGCAAATGGTGGGCTATATACCCGACACACGCAGTGGTTATCTGGACATCTGGCGCAACTACGAGGAAATCCGCATTATTGATGTGAGCTCCTATTTGAAAATGAACCATTCTCGTCTCATCACAGGTCGCTTCCACTGGCGTCCGAGCATTAAGAACGAGCTGCGCGAGAAGATCAATGGCGTGGGTAATTCCATATATAACTCCTTCTCCGATGGCATTGATTTCTGGATTAAATCTGTCTACTCCGAATCTGTGGACTCGGTGGGCGTCATCTGGAGCACGGCCAAGGAGTACAATAAAAATTTCATTGATGACATCAGCCAGCTAAGCGTATTGGAAGAGGATCTGAACGATTTTCGCCTGTTTGTTAATCAGTCGTATGAGGCGAATGATTTCTACATTAAAAATGTAGTCAACTTTACACTGACCATACTGGATGAGCTGGCCATCAGGGATCACATCGAGTCGCTGCCAAAGATATTCTCTGAGCTGTGGCAGGCCATGGGTGACTCAGGCAAGGCGCTGCGTAACAGCATTGTGTGGCTGATAGATACTATAAAAACGACCTACAACAATGTCCTGGACGCAATCAGTCGCTTCTTCCATGGCGAAAGCTTAAGCTACATTTCAACGCTCATGGAGAAGGGCATAGAGAAGTACGATAAGTTTGTCAAGGAGCTGCACATCAAGTTCATTAAGTACATTGAGAACCTGTGGCACAAATTCTGGCATCTGGCGGAGACCTACTGGAAGAATGTGCTCAAGCGATTCGAGCCACACATGTTTAAGATCATCAGCTTTATAGAGACAAGCGCTTGGGATCTGAGCAAGGAGGTGTTTGACTTCATATACAAACGGACCAACGAGCTGGCCGAGTCGCCCTATTTCAATAAGGTGTCCAGTTTTACTGCCGATGCGGAACGCTTATACAGGGATATACAGGCGAACGATGCCATCACGAATATTAAAAAGTACTCGACGCTGGCCTGGAACTTTATCAAGGAGAAGTACTTTAAGCTGGTGCCATTTGGCGCAGAGCTGAACGAGGTGCTCACCGAAATCTGGCAAGAGATCAAAGAGCTGCAGAAGATTGAACAGGTTCAGATCGTGGTACAAAAGTACAACGAAATTGTGGCCAAATTGGAGTGGATTGCCGATGAGCTGCAGCTCGAGTATCGCATTCATCAGCTATACGGACTGTTGCGCAACAAGCTCCGCACCTATACGATGAATGCCCTGGAAACGGCGGACATGTACAGAGAGGCCAAGACCAAGTTCGTGTTCGATCCGGAGGTGGGCGTTATTGATCTGGAACAAAAGCTGCCCATGTCCTGGCATGCGTTCAATGAGACACCCAAATTCGAGGAGATTCCAGAGTATAAAATGCTCTCCAAAGTTCAGAGCTTCCTAAGCGAAACAAACTCGTCCATCATCATGAAGCTGTACAACATGCGCGCTCATCTAGATCCCAAGACCTGGCTGCCACCCTATTACTGTATGTAAAGCGATATTTAGCCTAGAACCGAAAGTAGAGATTAATTGTGAACTCTTTGCCCTTACAGCACGCGCCTTGCTTATCGACTCACGCCACTATATGACCTTTGACCAGCGTTTTGTGGGTCTCAATCTGAACTTTGAGCAACTGGCCAGTAGTGGACGCAATGGGCAGTGCAGCTATTTGTTGGCTCATGACTTTTTCAAGCGCAACTTTACTCTGCTGCTGGAACCAGCGGTACGACAATTTGTGACATGTATTTAAATTAATTACTAATATTTGATCATCTTGGCAGACGCAACCGCTGACTGGTCAAGAAACAGGTGAAATTTCCACGCGCAAGCTGAGTTTCATAGCGAATGGACAGTTTATCGAGATAGATCTTGGCACGGATGTAAGCTATGCATGTTGAGGACTCTATCTACTCGTTAACTAACTGTTTTTTCACACACATCCACAGCACATCAGCGTTAATGGCAATCCACAGCCAATATTGCCACTCAAATTGGGCGCGGTTAATATTTATCGCGAGCTGGACATTCTGTCCATAATCTCGGACACACAGTTCAGTCTGCACTGCAATGTGCAATTCGATCTGTGCTGGTTCGAGGTGAGCGGGTGGTACTTCGCCAGGACGGCCGGATTGCTGGGCACGCTCAATAACGAGCCCTACGATGAGTACACCATGTCCAACAGCTTGATTACGAATCAAACGCAGCAGTTCACGGACTCCTGGAGCCTGCAGCACTGCCAGCAAACTCAGTTAGCTAGGACTGAGCCAACCAAAAAAGAAATCATCCAAATATGCAACAATTTCTTCCGCTCGGGCATTCTGTCCGCCTGCAGTGCTGTCGTGGAACCGGCACCTTTTTATGAGATGTGCCTGGATCTGGGCATGAAATCACAGCCCATTCGTCCTGGTCATCCGGCCGTAAAGGGTGCTTGTGCTGCTGCCCTGGCCTATATTGAGACCTGTACCACGCTTAAGGTGCCCATGCGTGTGCCGGATCAGTGTATATTGTGAGTAAAGTACAGTGATGCACCTGTGCTTGGGCAATCCCCTGAAACTAAAACTAAAGCTGCAACTAATTATTGTTATTTATAGCTGCCAGTTGGCAAATGGCTCGTATGTGCCGGAGGGAACATTTATGGAGCTGAGCGGCGCTGATATTCCACGCAGCAGCGATGTGGTCTTCATTGTGGAGGCCAAATCCTGCAATGAGAATCTCAAAGAGTCCAAGAGCATTATGAGCGTCGTTTCCAGCATTGAGGAGCAATTGCAGGCTGTCAAGTTAACCAACAATCGGTAAGTTCAGCAAACCGAAGGCTTCAATAGTTTATCATTTAACTGTGTTCCGTTTCCAGCTATGCAGTTGTGGCATTTGGCGGCGTTGCCCCTTACGACAGGCCGCGGAGCATTATCTATGAGCGTAATGTGTTCACATCGAAGCCCGAGCAGCTGGCCAATTACTTCGCGCACATAAATACCGGCAATGGCAGCAGCAGCGATATCCTAATGGCCATTTCAACAGCATCCCGTCTGAACTTCCGGCCCGGCGTATCTAAAACCTTCATCCTGCTGTCGTGCAGCAGCTGTGCGGCTAAGGATATGCGCTTCGATTACACCTCCATATTGCAGTTCATGCTGGAGGAGGGCGTCAATCTGCACATTTTAGCGGACACGGAATTCGATTTTGAGCGCACGCGAAAACTGCGCCACTTCTTCGGCCTAGATAGAGAGCTGGTCTACTCGAAACGCTTCCCCGAGGGCGATGCCGAAACACGGAAACAGGTGCACATACCCAAGAGCAACTTGGGCATTTGCACACCGCTGGCGCTAGAGACAAACGGATCGGTGTTCAGTGCACGCAAACTGGCGCCGGAGCGCAAGTATCCGATTATGCGGCTTGCTACCATTTTCGCCAAGCGTGTAGCCCAGAGTGCCACGCCTATAGGCAGTCAAACTTGTGAGTGCTCCGGTCACAACTCGGGCGTAGCCTATGTGGCGTGTTCGCCGCGTGCCTTACCCGAGGAAAAAGGCAACCTAGACGAATATGTAAGTAGCCATTGAATCGACATAAGGAACCTGACTCAAATGCTGTGTTTTTCTAGGACGATTTCCCCAACTGGGATTGGGATGTGGACGAACTGGATGAAGATGCCTAAACGCATTTGATTTAGTTTTTATTTGATTAGTTAATTAATTTTACGTATTTTGGGGCAAAAGGTAGTTTTTGTCAAAAAACTCAACAATATTTTGTAAAAATAAATAATATAATGCTGAAAAGTCCCAGAACTGAGTCAACTATTTACTTCTTCCTTTCGGAACATTATATATGCAGTATGTATTGAAACCCGTATTTTATTTTTATGCCTATCTTGGAAGGAATTCTATCAACTTGGATGATGGGCTGGAGTTATAGATATGGGTGTTTCCGGGAAACTACAATTTTAACAAAATATATATGTAAATGTGCACTTACCCGAATAATCAAACATACACGGATGTGTGTTCCTTGCCATCTTTCAGTAGTAGTAGGATTCAACTGGAAGAACAAAAGAATTGTAGAGTTAGTAACAAAGTTTCTAAAAAAACAGGAAACTTCAATGGGAGGCAGATAGAGAAGGATCTCGAGCAAGTGAGCAGAAATAAAATATATTAGATTTTCAACGTAACTAGTTAATATAACAGCTTTAATCTAAGCATAGAAACATGTGAATATTTCTTGGGTTTTTAAGAATCGCAAAGTAGCGTGATATTTCTAAATACTTTTTTCTTAATTTGCAGCGAAGAGAATGTTTCAGTATAGGTGTATTTAAATAGAATTAAATTAAAACTGCCCTGATATGAAGTATTCCAATATAGTTAATAATTCGCTGCAATAAGGAAATGCCATTTAAGTATATTTAGTCTCTTATATAAGGATAAAGATAAACAAATTCAAAATGCCGTTATGGTCTTTAAAATTTCAAAACTGCTTCCATCGGATGTCTACCTTTGATTTACTAATTACGTCCATTTTATATTAAAAATTGCAGTTAATTTTAACATTTCCTGATGTTACATTTTCTTTTTGTCCCTCGAACTGAGGACTGGCATTTGTAATTCTATGTTAGCCATCTCAATGATTAGTTTTTTGGCCCAAATTGCGACATGGCCAACCAGTTTTTTGATGTCTTTGCCTATGCTTGCACCAGCAGCTGCGCCTGCGCCTAAGGCCCAGCAAAGTGATGCAGCCCATTTCCTAGACACCATTCGATGTTTGTGCAAGTCTCAGACGAATATTAAAAGTGGTCTGACTGGCTGCTGGGCAGCGTTAGCGTTACCGACTATCACTTTTTCGCTAGAGCAGGTTACGGTTGACGGAAGCGATAGCAGAACTCAAGTACGTGTAACAACCTTAACCCCAAAGCTGGGACAGGCCCAGATTGCAGCAGGAGCCGTCGGGCCGAAGCGATGCGGAACAGGGCAGGGCCATTCACTTTGCCGGTGCAGAGTGAGAGCAATGGACAGGCAGCGGGATACTTGATACCCACTTGAACCCAATTTGTTGTTATAACATTTGCTTGGAAAAGCACAATGAAAATTATGCGATCCGAATGCAATACTTTCTATTTCAATGTTATGGTTACATCAACTAAACAGTTGACCAATTGTAATGGGCAAATCTTTCACTTTTGGCCAACTGCCAACTGCCAGCTGCAATATAAAAGCCAGCTAACGGATTGCAGGCACTCGCATTGTTTAACTGCAATTCGCGGCGCGTGGAGCTACCAATACACAAATAAATCTCAGCCATAAAATGTGGTTAATTGTAAGTGCATTCAAAACTCACTAGTGGGGCATCTAAAGTCATAATCCCCACAGTTGTTCGTCTGCGGCATGTCCCTTAGCTATGCGTCGGAGCACACTGGCGAGGGGCACTTTGAAGGTGGGGGAGGTGGAGGTGGTACCGGCTTCGGAGATTATCATCATCAGCACCAAGACACACCCACCACTTACTCGGAGACATCGAAGCATGTGCCCGTCCATGTCATTGAGAAGGTGCCATTGCCCATACCACATCCCGTGGCCGTACAAGTTGGTGAATTCAAAGCGTTTGCCCAAAATGGATTTCATTCAATTTCGTTTCCCCTTTATAAGGTACCCAATGTTATACGGCTGCAAATACCAGAGCCCTATGCGGTTCATGTTCCGGTGCAACAGGAAATACAAATTCCCGTTTACAAAATAGTTCCCGAAATAACGGAACGCAAGATACCGTACACGGTGGAAAAACCCTACCCGGTTGAAGTCGAAAAACCGTACCCCGTCGAGGTGATCAAGCACATCAAAATACCTGTGCCCAAGCCATATCCTGTGCCCTATACCATTTATAAGCATGTCCTGCACAAGGAGCACGGCTGGTGAGCCTTCAGAGGTCGCTAACATGGTTTTAGATTATGTGGCAAGTTAATGTTGAGCCAGTATTAAAGTCCATAGGATTGGTAATTAAAACATATCAACGTATTTTTCTCAGTATTTGACGAATTATTTTTTTGAGAAAATTATTTTATATAAAACTTGGTCTGAAATAATCATTTAACTTTGAACTTAAGCATACAGGAAAACCGTTTAAAATATTTGCAAAATTTGTTGAATGTTCTATATAAGCCTATTTATAAATGCTTAACTGTATTTTGATATGGGAATAAATTAAATGTTGACAACAATTTGTGGTTTGTACGAATTAATTTGAATTGAATTATTTAACTTTTAATTTTAATTATTATTAGTCATCGCAATTCATTTATCCAAGCAAATTTTTTTTTTTAAGAGAGGAAAGCTTTCAAAGTTCTTAAAATCATCCGTATTTCTAACCCAAATTATTTATTTACCATAATTTGAATTAATCCTACGTAAAAATCCCAAAAAATACCCCAATACGCAAACCCATGCGCAATTTGTTAAAGTACAAAAAAAAACCCTATGTAAAAGCTTGCATGCTTTCATTTAAACAAAAACCGTAAGCTTTAAGCTTCGAGCTTTGTTAATGGACGCATTACTGTAAAAGTGTGGTAAGTAACGGTTAAAGTGCGTACACTCACACTCATACACACTCTCTCTCGCACACACACATGTGCACAGGTTCGTTAAACTCTGTTGAGTCCTGTTGGAATTGACGTCCTGATTGTCAGAGGGACTGCCTCATCCATGGCTACAGCTAGGTTTTCCTTAAACCGATGACGTGCTTGAAATGTGCGCACACTCAACCGAGTCCCCTAGGCCCGCCCGCCCCCCAATTCCCAAGGAATGTGCAACGATGTTAAATATCCCTTATGGCCTTGATAGAGGAAATCGTTTATCGTCTTTAGCTGTGGAAATTGCGACAAGTTTTCCATGACAGTAAAATGGCAGACAAAGCCGCCATTGATTTTCATATGTTGCCTGCTCGAAGGCGCACTCAAGCCTTGCTCTAATCAGTGCATCAATCAAGCAATCAAAAACCGTTAGTCAATCAGTCAATCAGTCAGTCAGTCAGTCAGTCAATCGGTCTGTACAATAATTAATGCACAGCTTGTGCGAGATGTATCCAATGAAACGCCACATTGTGTATACGCCATGTTTGCCTACGTGCTCTAAAGCGAAAGCTTCAATCGGAAACACACACACGCACTTTACACGGGCACAGACACATATGCATTCCACATAATCAACAGTATTTGCTGTATAAATAAATTCTGTTCACAAGCTAAATAAATGCTTTACCTATATTTTGAGTTACACTTAAAATGGATGGAATTATTGTGCTGTTTCCAGTTATTTTAGTTTTAGTTTCAGTTCTAGGAAACATATAAAAAAAATGTATTTCCGGCACATTCAATGCTTTTCAAGCAATTTGTTTGAATATTTTATGTTTATTTTCTTGAGGCACTTTATGTTAAAAGGATTAGTAAAAGAAAATCGAAAACAAGAAAATATGTTTATATTATGCTATTTTTTAGTTCAGATGACTTTTCAGCATTTGTTATGTCCTTTACCATTTACATTTATTATTGGTTAACTCCGAAAATATGCCCAAATTGACAGATTCACATTTTGCATGCATAGTTGATTAATATTTAACGATTTGAATGGCCAAAATCGAATTGATTGTGTGTTGCATTCGTCAAATCATTTGGAAAATTGTATAATTGTCTATTCAAATAATGCCACAACAAATTGTGCATTAATTCATATGCGGTTACCGGCGGTCAATTTGGCTGTTCACATCAGCTGTGCTGATTACATTATATAACCAGGTCGGCTTAAATGCATATAAATACTTCATTAACGAATGAGAATGCACTACAATTGAATAGGATACACCCTGTAAGGTATTAAAATACAGGTCCACCATAAACTTATGGTATAATATTCAATAGTTAAATAAATAATTAGGTTTGAAATAAATTTCAAACCATACCCGAGTGCCACTAAATTAAATGACTGTAAGTTACAATAGAAATTTTTCGTTTAAGTGTCTTTAGAGTTCTCAGAAATTAAACACCTATCATCTTAATATTGAAGTGATATCCTTTCTGTCTGTAGGGAAATTAAAAATAACAATTTGTCAACCTTACTCTTTGTTAACAAAGTTCGATGCATGCAGATACTTGATATCGCATAACATGTCCACCTTTCTGCATATGCTCACAACAACTCAGTACGCCTTTATCCATGCGACACTCGCCGTAAAGAGCTGTTGCACCTGTTCAAAATCAATTTATAATGCCTATTCGGGATAATAGTATTTGCATGGCATGTGGAATACAAATTAAATTGTTAGCCTATTGGTATTACAGCACTCCCAAAGCGCTAAGTCCATGAGCTAGCAGCTCAGGCTAAGCTCACGGGAGGCTGAACAACACAAACAGGAAAATAGCGCGAAAAAAAGAGAAACACATAGATATACATATAAATGAGAAATGAGAGAAAACGACGCGAGATGGTGAATTTGTTGCACATGTTTGTTTGGCAAACTTTTTACAGCGCAAATATTTCGTTAAATTAATTTAAGTTAATTGATTTTCATGCCAAAAGCTTTGCACGTGCGTCCATGGAAATTTATGTTCGTTGAGAATTTTTCCATGTTGTCGCAGTATGGCAGGAAACTACCTACCCCCGCGTGCCCACCTGCCTGATAGATAAAAGCGGCAAACTGAAACGGATGCTTGCCAGTCAAATAGTCAAACGTATCGACAGCCGGAGGTAGGCAGAGGGACGGACAGACCGACAAACGGACAGAAGGACACGATTGCGTTGGGTGCTGAGCTGTAATGAAATAAATTTCCTTTCCAGATACACACACTTGCAAGCACACACCTCCGTGTATGCTACATGTGTCAACTGTCTTGGCAGGTAGAGTGTGTATTGCCCCGCCCACTGTGCGCCTGTGTGGCGCCTTGTCTGTGCTTGACTTTGATGAACTTCCTTGAAGAGACGACCGTTGTCGATAAAAATAGCAACATTTGACGCCGCACAGTGTACGCTACAAGTATGCTGCCTTCAGGCACCACCCAAACTCAGCGCAGCTGCAGCGTCTAAAACTAGCTCACAAAAAAAGGAGAAAATTGTCGCAAAAATATTATTAACGCCAAATTAAATAATTGCTCAATGAGTTGAGCATATTAATTATTATGTATCGCTTCTGCTGGAAAAGTTGCCTTCATATTGTTATTTTTAAACATGTCAAAGCCAGCACCTCACACAAAGACTCTCGAATAGACCCGCCCTGTCCACTCGCAACTCACAGATACTCATTCGCCTAGATTTGAGATACTGCTCGTACGCGTCGGCTGCCTAATGAACTGTAAAGTGGTGTGAATCCAAAGAGTCCTTTGATGGGCAGCCATGCTCCTGAGCAAATTTCAAAAAGCCCTCTTACAAAATTATTGATTACCATAAGAAGGTATATATACGATTAGTTCGAAGCCAGCATTTCCCATTCGAAGGCTCACATATCCAATTGCAACTGTCCGTTTCCGCAATTAGCCTCTAAATTTTCCATTCCATGTGGATCCCTATCTGTCCCGGAAAAAACTTTGCCTTGATATAGTCAGCTGCTCTTAAATGAATCTGAATTAAATTGCAAATTTATAAATTCCCTGGGCTGGACTACTCTCTAATTTAAACAAGCGCCACAAACTAAAATACACAATTATGTCTGTGCACATATATATCAAATCTGGCAATCAGCTTTGAATCAACCCGATTCAAGTCCTGAATTCCAATTTATGTTTTGCCAATGGGTAATTGTAAATATAAAATTGAATCGTTTCATAAAAGCTTAAATATTATATGTACCAACAAGCAACATAACATGCTTTCAGCACAGTCACATTATTAATTTGCCGGAGATCGAAAATAAAGTAACTATCTAGACGAAAATTCCGTATATTTCTATACTTAGTCGACAAAATGATGTTAATAAGATTTTATATAAATGTGAGGAGCATTTTGAAGATTTCATTGTAAATCTGTTGCGAATCCCCGTTTATTGTCCATCAACCTCTTCAAAACTGAAAGAATAGTTTGAAAGTAAAATATATGCATATTATAGGGTCGGAGATAATTCTCTATGCAAAGGTATGAACAGGTGTAATTACTTATTTGAGCTGCACTGTGGTACATGTGGTATGATTATTTTAGTCCTAGTCCTATTATCATAAAATGTCTTGTTTGGAAATTCCTTTCAAAATAAATACGGCGTATGTGAGTGAGGACATGGAATAATAAAGACATACTCATTAAGTCTATCTTACTGTAAAATACTCTACGAATTTGCACCTTTTGTTTCATATTCTATATGCAAAACTTCGGTGCAAGGCTCCAATTCATTTTTTTTTCTTCTGGTAACTACCTCAACTTACAGCTCCTTTTGGCCTACCCAGCTGAGAATGCTTCGAGTATTATATGACCAATTGCGGGCCGGAACTGTCAAAATGCGGCTCAATGTTGTCCCCTTGTGGCCATAAAAATAAACTATAAATAGCCGCGGCGTTTGTACTTGAAGCACAGCAAGAAGCGTCATAAAAATGTGCAAAAATATAAATCAATGCTGTGGCAGAAAACTTACCTAATCCCAGAGACAGGCGGCAAACGCAAGTATAACAAGAATAACAACAACAAAAAAAATAATACCTAATGACAAATCCCCAGGCGCTAGTCAACATGGCTGGGGGTCCGGGGTCCATGTCAAAGTGCTGGGCCATTAAAGTCATAAAAGTCGCGTGGACTAAATTAGAAAGAATTCTTGCGACTGGACTCGGCGCTACTGCTGCGAGGCTGCTGCTAAAGCGAAGCTAAAGCTTTTCCTGCTGCTTATTCTTGATGTACATAATTTTAAATGACTTTCAGGAGACGACCTAAAACGGCAGTCGGGTGTACAC